TGTATCACGCCAACTTCGATTTAGTTGAACAGTCTAAGATTCATGGATAAGGAGGGATTTTCCTCATGAGTGAGTGGGATAATATCTCTGAGATTCTTTGTTCTGTACTCACCTGTTTCACGCCAATAACTTCTCTCGTGACGGTCAGATCTCGGGTCAAGCACGCTCACATTGTTGGTTTGGAGGCGTTTAACTTTCCAAATTCTGGGATCATCCAAACATCCAATCAGATTCACAAATCATAGGTTGAAAACACACTGAAACCGATGGTTTTAAATTTATCAAGTGGTTCGTTTGTGAAAATATTCAGATTAAGTGAATTCCACTAGCTTTTATCATTGTCGTTTAGTGTTCGCCACCTTTACATTCTATAAAACATTTTAACTCTTGTCTCAATTTGAATTTTAGTAATGGCTGGTAAAGTGAGGTAGTATAGGTCACGTAAAGATTATATTTTTACTTTGATCCAAAAATGAAACCATAGGATAAACCCTTTAATCGTGACAGAACTCATGAAAACCGTTAAATAATTGACATTATGATTTCACCGACTGATTTGTGGAATTGGCTGTAACGTGTTTTATGTGGCTATGATTGTTTTGGAATATTAGTAACATGATGATTTTGCATCGGGTGAAAACGAAAGGTCGAAAAACCGCCAGGTGTCTAAAGGATGCTGTTTCCATCCTAAGATCACCACAACACAACTTGACGAAATATCTCTATCCCGTACACTATAAAATGTTTTATCACCAGCAACATTTTTTAAGCTGGAGACTTCTTCCCCAACAAATGAATCCGAAACGGTGGTTTCCAGATTAGATGCGACCATTTACCACAACGTTCTTCGGATAATAAAATTGAGTCCACCGCCCCCGGACGTCATGTCAGGGAACATCACAATCTAACCTGTCCGTCACGACGTTTGCGATAAGTGAAAACGAGCAACGATGTTTGGTCAGTGCCAGATAGGCGCGAACGCCGCCGGCCGCCGTTTCTGGAACGGTAATTGAATGGAATCATACGGGCAAAGGAAATTGGCGGGAATCGGACCCGATACCGCATACTTTAGCATGTTTAATGAGCCGCGATTTTGATGGTTTTGGCGTGAAACGGAGCGACCCTGTTATTAGGAGCATTGTGACCGGTCGACCGTGGCTAAGGCACGGGGTCAGGTGGAAAGGTGGTCGCAAGGTGTTCCTGTGTTCCCACAGACTTGGTGCGTGCTCTCGCCTCCACGGTCCAGGGCGGACTTTCTACTTGCACTGACCACTCTGCACGCGAATCTTCCCTGAGTGTTCGATGGTTTGGACGTTGACTGACAGTACGCTTTTTTGACCTAGGACGCTAGGCACGAGCCCGATATTATTTTTCACATTACCTCAGGCTAGAACTAGGAGTTGCGGAATTATCACTTAGATAAAATCCGGTGATTTGGTGGGATTTGAACCCGGGACCTCAGGAATCTAAGTCCCAGTCTCTAAGCTCGCTTCCATGACTGTACGCTACATAAGCTTTGGCTTGATTAGGGTTTTAATTCATATTGATATGTATTAAATTCGTTGTAAGGAGAGTGCACTTGTTTTGTTACTAGGTCAACCTCCCCCCAGAATTGAAGGTGAGCATTTACTACTCGGCGCGGATTAATAATCAGCTCATTGGAATCGGCAACCATCAACATTGTTGGGCGTGTTGGTAGTCTGGGGGTTGGAGTCACAGACTTCAATGAATCGGCTCTATCCACGGAAATCCTCAAAGATTTTAGGGAATTAGAAAGTTCTTCTATGTTTGTGATGCTTCCATAGAAATGCTATTGGGGAAGACACAAACAATGTTTAATACCGTAAAATTGATATCACATCTTTATTTTAGTAGGCCAACAATACTGTTTTATAGTACACTATTTGCTGTGATAGGAGAGATGAAGAAGTAAGAGGTCAAATTCGTCTCGGTATATTTTTAGTAGATACAATAATACTATAGTGAGTGACTTACTTGTTGATAGAACGTTTTGGCAATTCCTCTTTTTGATGAGTCCTATAATTGAGGATCTAAGAATCTTCGTTTACCATCGTTATCAAATATCAACTTGTTTCTGACAGAAATGGAGTTTGACAGCGCAATTGACACAAAATCCCATCGAAAGTCTGTAGTTGAAACTTGTGTGATAATTTTCATCCACCACCGATCGCAAATCGTATTTCACATTCGCATTGTGAAAGGGAGTTCAAACTAAAGAGCTTTGGGTGCACGTTTACTGAGCTGTAAACACATCATTGGCACCGTCGTGCGCGCGAGGCAGTGAAACCGTCGAGGCATCCCCGAAATTTGGGCGATTTAGAGGATTAATGGGCGCTAATGGAGGCGGAGAGCTTACTGCCGCGGTGGCGGGAAATCTGGTGAGAACATGGATACAGGTTGTAGGAATGTCGGAGTCGTTATGTCTCAAGGGAAGGAAAGTATCGGCTATTTCTCGTTTTGGCATTCAAGAAGCTGAGGAATTGTTAACAATGTGTAAAACTTAAGTTGAGGAAATATAAGTGTCTGCATCTGTTTTCAGATATACTCATGTTATACCATTCACAACCTATAGCTTGAGCTAATTTGACAATTGGTAAAAAATTGCGATGAGATCATTATTTTGAATGCTTTTGTTAGGTATAGTTACAAACTTCTATGGTTTTCGGGTTTGGAATCTTTATCTAGATGGTAACAGAATCGTCCTTCTATATTACAATTGAAATCTGAGGGGTATTCCACAGAATATTTTAAAATAATAGGCTAGGTTGTTTAAGCAATTCTAACCCAACCTCATATACCTATGGAATATCTTAAGGACGTTTTTGTGTTTGTTTACAGTACTTATACTTAAAAATATGATGTAACTTCAGCCATTATTTTTGCACGTTGGTGGCAACCATCTGAGGAATGCAAGAAAAAATAACATTATTGCACATTGACATTTACATGAAATGAGGCGTATTTTGTGGCATTCGCTAAATTTATATGGTTGCTGGTTGCTGTCATATATTATGACTTCGTCGTTGAACTGGCTCCAGCAATCTCCTACTTCCTTCACCTCCACCAATTCCAACAACTAAATCAGACGAATTGTAGCTTCCCCTGAAGACCGTTTCAGACAAGTCCGCCAATATTTTATCCATTTCAAGGACGAGATTCGACCGTCTTTAACAGGGAAAGCCTACCTTTTACTTTGAAATTTGTTTGATCATGTAACCTTCCTCACCTTCACCTTTTTCTCACAGCTACTCGACGCTGTAGTAGTTAACAGCTACAGCTCCTTGGAAGGAACACGGAGAACGTCTTGATTTGCGATTGTACACAAGTTGAGCGTGTTCCTTCAGTCACCTGTTCACTCCTTTCTTGGAGACTCACAACGCTTTGAACGCACTTGTATACTACTTAACCTAGAATACTAGTAGACTCGTTACACCTTGATCTTTGAATGTTTTCAGAGAGGAAACTAAATCTATTAAATGTATACCTTAACACTTATTTGATACGTAATACGCAATACATTAATAATTCGGCGACCATACAAATGTAGGTAAGGCAAGAATGAATAGATATGAGTGTAGGATGAGTGGGGCGATCTTGTAGGTAGTCTTGTTACTGACTAAGGCCGAAATGTTCCTTAAACAGGACTGTTAATTAATAGCCCATACAGCCAATGGCAACTAAGGGATCTCCATACGGCAACTAAGGGGTCTACAGTTTATAGTTATACTTCTGTAATCAAGGTCCTTTGGAATGATTGTAAATGTTGGATTATGAATAATGCATAGTATTCCTCAAAATATCAGAATATACATGATTACTCTTAGAAATATTTGTTTAAGAGTTAAGATATTGTCAAGTCCAATTTGTAGAATTTAGGTTCTCCCATTGTATAACATGGGGTCAAGGTGTCTTCCTTTTAACTAAAATAGGCTTTACCTTCGTCACTGCAGCTCAAATACTGGTGGTACCTACCGGCATTCGGTGTACCTACGTTACGGCCGTTTCGGCATAACAATGTCATCATCAGACTACAAAAACTCGGCTGAAGTAGCGTTGTTGAAGTTTAAACACGTAAAACACACGAACAAACGAAACATTTAACATATTTACAAAAACCGATCAGGCCTGTCGTACAACGGTTGACATGTTCCCGTTCCGTGCAAAAGGCCGACTGCAGAGATCTGATGATGGCATTGTAATGCCGAAACGGCCGTAACGTAGGTACACCACCAGTATTTGAGCTGCAGTGACGAAGAGCCTATTTAAGTAATATAAAGCTCAGGGGCTAAAACATGGATGTTAATCAAGTATTCCTTTTAATTTTGTGGTCTTAGTTTTACAAGTCTAGTAACTGCTAATAAATCTCTTAATGATATGTATTGCTTGATTCATTACACGGTTACGTTTCAATAGAAAATTCTATGCGAGAAATGCGTACACTGTAAATACTATCTAACTATAATTTTAAACTTAAGAACATTTATTCATGGATAGTCATAATAAATTACGATCAATATTATTCCTAAGTGAGCATTTGCTACTTGCTGATTTCATATGGAAACTTAAGGAAAATAATTGGTCGTCCTTCGACGGAGAATTAAAGATTAACTATATAGTAATTCTTACTATATACATTTCCATTTTATACTCGTATCCTCTCTCTTGTATATTTAATTTCACTTGTTTACCTAATTCATCATAAAATAATTCAATTTTTTGTGGCTTTTTGGAAAACTTGAGAGTCTCCACTTTAATTTTTTCTATCTCCAGCATAAACTACTGTTAACAATATCTGGAGGACCTTAAGTATTAGGTAAGGGGTAAGTGGGAAAGCTACTCCAAGGACTCTGTCGCAATAGATCGGTTAGATTTTCTTGCCACGTAGTTTTTGTAAGGCGCCGCCGTGTAAAGTGAATGGGGAGAGTTAAGACGTTGATTAGATTCACTATTGAGATGTCTAACAACTCCTGGTAGGGTGATCACGCCTCTACGTGAACCAACTGTTTATCAGCAAGTAGATGTATTGGGTCATCAGTTGGATCAAGTGTTGCAGCGAGTACAGGTAGATCAAGTAGAGGCAGAGGACCAAATGGTACATCAGGTACAGGTAGATTAAGTAGAGGTGGAGGACCAAATGGTACATCAGGTACATGTAGATCAAGTAGAGGCGCAGGACCAAATGGTACATCAGGTACAGGTAGATCAAGTAGAGGCGCAGGACCAAATGGTACATCAGGTACATGTAGATTAAGTAGAGGTGGAGGACCAAATGGTACATCAGGTACATGCAGATCAAGTAGAGGTGGAGGACCAAATGGTACATCAGGTACACGTGTTAAGATATGTAATGTTAAATCAAGTAGAGGTGGATCAAGTGTTGCATCAGGTACAGGTAGATCAAGTAAGAGGCGGAAGACCAAATGGTACATCAGGTACAGGTAGATCAAGTAGAGGTGGAGGACCAAATGGTACATCAGGTACAGGTAGATCAAGTAGAGGCGCAGGACCAAATGGTACATCAGGTACAGGTAGATCAAGTAGAGGTGGAGGACCAAATGGTACATCAGGTACAGGTAGATCAAGTAGAGGTGGAGGACCAAATGGTACATCAGGTACAGGTAGATCAAGTAGAGGTGGAGGACCAAATGGTACATCAGGTACAGGTAGATCAAGTAGAGGTGGAGGACCAAATGGTACATCAGGTACAGGTAGATCAAGTAGAGGCGCAGGACCAAATGGTACATCAGGTACAGGTAGATCAAGTAGAGGTGGAGGACCAAATGGTACATCAGGTACAGGTAGATCAAGTAGAGGTGGAGGACCAAATGGTACATCAGGTACAGGTAGATCAAGTAGAGGCCCAAGACCAAATGGTACATCAGGTACAGGTAGACCGAGAAGAGGTGGAGGGCCAAATGGTACATCAGGTACAGGTAGATCAAGGTAGAGGCGCAGGACCAAATGGTACATCAGGTACATGTAGATCAAGTAGAGGCGCAGGACCAAATGGTACATCAGGTACAGGTAGATCAAGTAGAGGCGCAGGACCAAATGGTACATCAGGTACAGGTAGATCAAGTAGAGGCGCAGGACCAAATGGTACATCAGGTACAGGTAGATCAAGTAGAGGTGGAAGACCAAATGGTACATCAGGTACAGGTAGATCAAGTAGAGGCCTAAGACCAAATGGTACATCAGGTACAGGTAGATCAAGTAGAGGCCTAAGACCAAATGGTACATCAGGTACAGGTAGACCGAGAAGAGGTGGAGGACCAAATGGTACATCAGGTACAGGTAGATCAAGTAGAGGCCTAAGACCAAATGGTACATCAGGTACAGGTAGACCGAGAAGAGGTGGAAGACCAAATGGTACATCAGGTACAGGTAGATCAAGGTAGAGGCGCAGGACCAAATGGTACATCAGGTACAGGTAGACCGAGAAGAGGTGGAGGACCAAATGGTACATCAGGTACAGGCAGATCAAGGTAGAGGCGCAGGACCAAATGGTACATCAGGTACATGTAGATCAAGTAGAGGCGCAGGACCAAATGGTACATCAGGTACAGGTAGATCAAGTAGAGGCCTAAGACCAAATGGTACATCAGGTACAGGTAGACCGAGAAGAGGTGGAAGACCAAATGGTACATCAGGTACAGGTAGATCAAGTAGAGGCCTAAGACCAAATGGTACATCAGGTACAGGTAGACCGAGAAGAGGTGGAGGACCAAATGGTACATCAGGTACAGGTAGATCAAGGTAGAGGCGCAGGACCAAATGGTACATCAGGTACATGTAGATCAAGTAGAGGCGCAGGACCAAATGGTACATCAGGTACAGGTAGATCAAGTAGAGGCGCAGGACCAAATGGTACATCAGGTACAGGTAGATCAAGTAGAGGCGCAGGACCAAATGGTACATCAGGTACAGGTAGATCAAGTAGAGGTGGAAGACCAAATGGTACATCAGGTACAGGTAGATCAAGTAGAGGCCTAAGACCAAATGGTACATCAGGTACAGGTAGATCAAGTAGAGGCCTAAGACCAAATGGTACATCAGGTACAGGTAGATCAAGTAGAGGCGCAGGACCAAATGGTACATCAGGTACATGTAGATCAAGTAGAGGTGGAAGACCAAATGGTACATCAGGTACAGGTAGATCAAGTAGAGGCCTAAGACCAAATGGTACATCAGGTACAGGTAGACCGAGAAGAGGTGGAGGACCAAATGGTACATCAGGTACAGGTAGATCAAGTTAGAGGCGGAGGACCAAATGGTACATCAGGACCCTAGAGGTGGATCAAGTGTTGCATCGAGTACATTTAGATCAAGTAGAGGCGTAGGACCAAATGGTACATCAGGTACACGTGTTAAGATATGAAATGTTAAATCGAGTAGAGGTGGGTCAAGTGTTGCATCGAGGACAGGTCAATTAGAGGTGGAGGACCAAATGGTACATCAGGTACACGTGTTATGATATGAAATGTTAAGTTAAGTAGAGGTGAATCAAATGTTGCGTATATGTGGGGGATCAAATGCTACTTACTATCCAGACAAGACCAATTGTAAATCATCAAAATTATACATAGTATATCGGTAAAGGATGAAATTATACATCAAGTGTAGATGACTCTTTGATCAAGTATTATCCAGCAAAATGATACATCAGGAAAAATACATTTTCCATCGTATGGTTAAAATGCTTATCAAACCAAGGTAGACTTCGAAAAAGCGATTGTCTATGCAGGTTGGAACTGTTTCACCCAATTTTGCTTTTTGAAAACTGTTTTCTCTAGAAAGAAAAGAAGAAGCCATCAGATGGGTCTATTCTCCATATCCGCACTCCTCAATCCGAAAAACCTCCGTGCTCTTCCACAGGACTTTCGGTCCCGCCCGCACCGTGGTCGACCGACACGGGCGTAGCCCCCGACCACCGGAGCAAGACGGCTGATAAACAATGTCTTATTTATTGACAGGGTGTGTCCATTAAATAATTGTCCATTACTGAGAAAACTCAATTACACGCCCTGAGTCACCCTGTCGTCAAGACGGCCACAATATGTCATTTCCGCATCCTGTCTTGGCGTGAGTCTACAATCGCTACCTGTGGAGAGTAATTGGTTCTTCGGGTCTAAACAACTGTTTAAATTACCACTCAGACCACAGGGCTGTTTTATATATACGCAGGGCGGATTCATAAGCCAGATTGTGTTGAAGTAAACCTAGGTTGGTTGAAAAACTGAGGAATGTGATCCATTAGCTATTTTTGTGTATTAAGAGTGCAATGACTGTTTGTGCTCGTAATGTGCACAAGACTATTCCTAAATTAACTTAGGCCTATAATAACACACAGATTAACTTTTTAGTTGTATATACCTTTTTAGGTTATATTTGCTTTTTAAGCTATGTTATTAACCGGATCTTAAAAAGCATGTATCATTGTATCATGTGACCGGCTGTGGTTGATGTAGAAACGACAACTGTGAAAATGTTCATAGACTAAAATTGAAATACTTATGCTTCGCAATTTATTATTAAATGTAACACAGCATCGCATAATGTTCTAACCCGTTTATTTGTTCAAACTTAAACAAAATTTGAAAAACAAATCTGGATAAACTCTCCACACAATTACCTTTAAACCTAGGTTCGAGCCTGTGATGCCCATTCCGATGAGGGATTTTGATCGCTTTCTCCCATAACAGTTTGCGCTCTCATTAAAATGACCCTTGGGCTTCTAGAGACTCTTGGACCCGGTAGCTCTCACAATCATTATAATGACGAGTCGGTATCACTGAAGGCTATGGTAATACACCTCACACGGAGCTGTAGACTTCATTACACGTGCATTACACTCATTACACCTTGCATTGCATTGACTTCATTACAGCTCATCGTCACAGTCGCATCTGCATATCGTGGGTGGAGTATCTGATGAGTTTGCAGATATAGAGTTGTGTTAGAAAGATACATTTTATCGTGTGACATTTGGTTATGTGGATAGCATAAAAGTTAGCGTCTCACATGAAATAGGTTTACAAACAATTTCAAGAGTATAGACCAATTTTCTTAAAGCATTTGTGCAATTTTGTTAAAGCATTTCTCTTTCATTGATAATGTCACTGACGTAGACACTAGCAAAAAGCTGAGGATGAAATTAATTTATGAAGGTGGGAAACTAAACTTTACTTGGGGAACTAAAATCAACTTTACGAGACATTGTTTTATGTTTTCTACAGACTAGTGTGAACAATGTTTTAGGATGTGACTTTTTCGATTTTTATTTAAAGAACTAAATCTTTGAATCACATAAATCACACCTCAGCATAGTGAATATGGGCGAGAGAAAATAATGAAAAAATAAAAAATGTAAGTAAAATTAAAAATATTTGTATGCACGAAATTTAGCTTTTGAAACGAAAGATATTGTCATCGCTGACACTCACTTACAGACGATCATTTTGTGACCATAGTTTATTTTCAGGGTCAAGACATATACTCTAGCACCCTGGGTTAAGGCTGATGAGGACCTATCCTAGAACATCCAAAATGGGCTCATCTGCACTGAAATATCACGATCGTGTTACTTTGGTCCTTCAGAGAGACGTAGAAAGAGAGATTGAGACCGATGATTGAATCAATACAAATGGCTTCCCAAAAATGAGGTAACCGAGTGGTATGGTCTGAGTAAGATTTTGTCCGATTTCTCAAATCAAACCAAAAAGAATCGACGTCTGGAACCAGACTGTATTAGAATATATCAAATTTGCAAACACCAGCTATTGTACAGTAAACATTGCAATATTATGGGAAACCTTGCAATAACATTGTACTCTTTGCCAGAGCGATAACTCCCTACGCACGGTCTCCAAGGTAAGATTCCTCAGTTCCTTGTAACTCAGTTCTTCAGTTTCTCGTTCTTCAGTTCTTCGGTTCCTCGTTCCTCAGTTTTTAGTTCACTCGTTCCTCGCGTCTCAGCACGTTAGTTGATGTGCCACACAGTTCCTCAGTTTCTTGCAACTCAGTTCATCCGTTCCTCGTTCTTAAAGTTTTTCGGTTCCTCGTTTCTCAGTTCTTCAGTTCCTCGTTCCTCAGGTTTTCGGTTACTCGTTCCTCAGTTCCTCGTGCCTCAGTACGTTAGTTGATCGTGCTACACAGTTTCTCAGTTTCTTGCAATTCAGTTCAATTGTTTCTCGTTCCTTAGTTCTTCGATTACTCATTCAGATCTTCAGTTCCTCATTCCTCAGTGCTTAGGTTACCCCTTCCACAGTTCTTCGATTCCTCGTTCTTCAGATTTTTGTTTCTCGTTCCTCAGTTGATCGGTTCCTCGTTACTCAGTTACACGTTTCCCAGCTTCCGTGCCTCTATTCCTCATGCCTTAGTTCCTTGTAACTCAGTTCGTCGTATCCACGTTCCTCAGTTCTTCAGCTACTTGTTCCTCAGTTCTTTGGTTACATTTCAAATGGTTCTTCCTTATATCTTACTCATTTCTTCGATTCCTCGTTCCTAGGCATTTCGGTTAGTTGTTACAATTCCTTAGTTCCTCGTGCCTGGCTGAACTAACGTGAAGACACTGACAACTCCTCGTGCTTCAGTTTCTTGTATCTCTGTTCTTCATTCATTATTTCTTTGGTTCCTCATACCTCAGTCTTTTTAACTAAGACCCTATTAAGTCCATCGTTCCTCAGTTCCCTTGTCTCAGCCATGGCCCGATATTGTTCCACATTCATGCACCACGCGGATGCGAGGTTCGCGCGATTTTGATGAGTCCGGCCCGCCATAAGCTACATTTATTGACGGGTTATGGCCCTGCGTTGTAGCACTACGGGACGCCGCCCGCCCGCCCTCATATTTCGGCTCTCCGCATTATTGGAATTTTAATTATGGTCCCGGACTTTAACGGTGCTCTCAGTATAAAATGTTCCTGTAACAGTTTCCAAATTGCCTTTTAACGTCCTCAAGCCTAACGAGGGAAAGATCGTTTGTGGTGAACTTTTAAACTACCCAGGTTCGCGTTTGTAGAGGTGAAAATATGTTTTCTATCCATAGTACTTTTATTAGTACACCGATTGTAATAGCATAGACTAACCAACCACAAGTTTTATCTATGGCAATCACCTGTAGGTAGTGGATATTATTGAAACTTTTCTAGATTTAGAACGATGTATTATTGTTAACTTTTCGGTCTTGCTGCAGGACCAGCTGAGCAGTACGTACTGGTGTTGGCCTCCCGATGGCGTTGAAAGACGTTCATCTGCATCGAAATCAAGGCTTCAGCATACCATGTAAATTATGTTACACTGTACTGAACTCAAATTAATTATGATTGTGGCTGAGTAGTTTTTACAATTTTACTAATAAACTGCAACATTCAACTAAAATATTAACTGAGTCGAAGGAACACATTGTCCACAGTTACTGTTAAGATTCTTCCCATTCAAATCCACAATTTGTGTTTCCGGAGAAAGCACCAGCCAATGAGACCAAAGACAATCCCAACCAAAGGTTAATGGGTCTGTATCCAGATTGTGCGTAATTATCTGCACGAGTCGTTGCATAAGCGTGATCCTCATTTGATAACTACGGAATGGTCGGGGCCACGGGGCCCGGGGCCCCACGGAGACGGGTCATGTTATGTGGCCCCACAATGTGTATCGAAGTCCACGACTGCTGGACTACCGCGGTGGTATATTGTGTCTTCGGGCAACGATTCAATGGCTGGTGGATTCAGTCGTCACAAGAGCAAACTGATTGTGATTCCTTCGCAAAATATTTGTTTACATCCTTGAGTATGAATACTGAACGTTGGAAGATATAAGATTTTGTAATAGCATGGCATGACAATCAGCTTAAATAATTGTTAATCCAAAATACAATGCTAAATGAATTCAAACAGTTGAAGAATTTTGCTTCAAATACACTTTTATCATCAAGGTTAACTTTTTGTTTACACAGAGCTTAACGTGTACAAAAAAATAGCAAGTCCAATTATCCGACATGGATCCAAAACAAGGGGATACTTAAAGAACGTTCTATGAAAATCTCCCTAGCATTTGAGTATAAATTTGGACCAACAAAAGACAATTAGGATTGGTAAATAAATCATAATAGGGGCCTGTTTTAAGAACCGGACAAGTTTATGAAGC